GGATACAAAAAACGTCCAAATGACGTTAAAAACGTCAACCTGGCAACGCCGTCTACACGTGCGGTTTCTCGCATGCTTCGTCATGCGAGCGAGATTTTCCAGCACGTGAAGACGGCCGGTAAGTTTGTTTACTGGATATACTGAGGTATAGGGCACTGTCACACGGTCAGTATTTCTTGACGTGATCCAAGTATCGCGATATTTATTGACGGTGTAGCATGCAGTATTGATAGATCGTGATCCATATCGCAAAATTTCTAAAAATTTTGAAATCTGGATCGCGGATCGCAATACCAACAATAAATATTGAACGTGTAGCACTTTCAAAACACGATCCATACATTTCGTCAGTACATCTTTTACTCTCATAATGCGAACATCGGCTCTGCCTTCGTNTCGCAAAATTTCTAAAAATTTTGAAATCTGGATCGCGGATCGCAATACCAACAATAAATATTGAACGTGTAGCACTTTCAAAACGCGATCCATACATTTCGTCAGTACATCTTTTACTCTCATAATGCGAACATCGGCTCTGCCTTCGCTCTCGGGGCTTAAAATCTTGCAAAACAAATTTTAATTAACATTGGAAATTTTAAAATAATTGTGGAATGCATTTTCTGTAAATTATACGTACAAAATAAAAATATTTTCTTGCGTCATAATAAGCTTTCAGCACAAAAATTATGAAAATACTGACGCGATAAATATTGAACATGTAGCATTCGTGCGCGATCCATCAATCCATCAATATGGATCGCGATCCAAATATCGGGGTAATTACTGACCGTGTGACAGAGCCCATATACTGTGGTTGATAAATATATTAGGAGCGATCCTTATCTCCCAGAAATAGTCAGAAAAGTCCGAAGTAGTCAGATTTAGTCCAAAAAGCGTTCCTTAACTGGGAAATGACAGCTAAAATGAGAGAGCAACACCCAGTGAGAGTGACTCTCATCAGTCCGAAGTAGTCAGATTTAGTCAGAAGAACTTTTTTTGGCAAAATCCTGAAAAGTGTCAAACTCAACTAAATTTAAATGAACGGAAAAGTGAGAATAATCTAAAAAGTAAAAAAAGTGAATTGAAATTGGAAGGAGGCAAAAAATAATTGATATAGTAAGTGTTTATTGTGCTTGTGCTTGTGTGAATGTGTTTTGTACATACACATTCTTATTTGACGTTAGCTTTGTTGTTGCCATTCTTTGGACTATAAATTTGGTTTTTTGCGTTCCTTTACTTTTCCTGTTATTCTCTTTTAGTGAGCGCATTTTGCTTACGCTCTGGCATTTTGACATTTTTCAGATTTTAGTCCAAAAAGATAAGGAATGAACCTATTATTTTGTTTTGATATAATATAGAATCTCTTTGAATTATATAAGTTGTTTTCTTTTGTACCCGAGCTGCAAAAGAACGCTCAACTGGCTTATATTCAACTGTCTTATAATTTGCATTCACTTCACAACACTGGTGTCAGCTGTCAAAAAATGTGGACTGTTTGTGAAATTTTTGAGCGAAACATTTAACAAAATGAGTAATTCCGAAGAATCTTTGGTAAATATACATATATATATATTTTATAATAAATAATTATATTTAATAAGTGGTTGTATACTTTTTGTCCAGATCGTGTCAATATGTGTGGGCGAGCAGCGTGAATTAGGCCAGGCAAGAGCATGGGAAATCGTAAGCGAAATACTGGAAACCATATTTGAAAGTTCCAGTTCATCCTCTGAAGACTCGGAAAGCGAAAATGAACATCATGAGAAGTGTTCCAACTTTGAAGGTACTCTCGATGCAATGAGTGAGATGGACTTCAAAACTAACATGAGACTGAACGTGAAACAGTGGAGTATCTAACAAGTAATAAATGCAAACTTTTTGAAACAAGCACATTTAGCAATTTAAAAAACTTTTCCTATTTCAGCGAAATATTCAATATCTGCGTTTCTTCCTGACCAGTCTGGTGGTGGTAGGTCACGCATTTCACCCAAAAAGGCAGTTTATATGTATATTTGGTACATAAGCAACACCATGACATTTAGGCAGCTAGGTAATTTGTTTGGGGTAGCCACTTCGGCCGCGTGGACAACAGTTCAATGAGTTACCGAATTCTTGGTATCTATTAGCCATGAATACATCAAGTGGCCAGAAGGTGCTTATTTGCAAAATATAACGGAAAAATTTCACCAAAAAAAAACGTATACCTGGCGTGATTGGAGCTATAGATTGCACACTTATTGTTATTAAGGGTCCGAAAGATCAAAAACAGATGTACTTTAATCGAAAAAAATCGTACAGCTTGGTGCTTCAAGCCGTAGTAGATGCCGATAAAAAGTTCACGGACATAACTTGTGGTAAACCTGGCTCGCTTCATGATTTCAGAGTTTTGAGAAGATCAAAACTATTCCCCGATGCCGAAAGATATTATGAAGAAATGTTCTCAGGTTCCTATTTTATTATCGGAGATTCGGCATATCCGTTGATGAAATGGCTGGTGTCACCATTTAAAGACTATGGAAATTTAACCCAAAGTCAACGAAAATTCAACGAAATACATTCTTCAACGCGAATGGTAGTTGAAAATGCGTTTGGGCTGTTAAAAGGACGTTTCCGAAGGCTGCTGAAATTTACAGAGCAATTACGAACATCGTGATCAGTACGTGTGTTGTACATAACATTTGCATAACTTTTGACGATTTGTGCGACGCCAATGAAGAAAATGACACAGACGAAGCGAACCCCTTTGTTATTGAAGATGAAATGGAGGAGTCAAATTTGAATGCAAACCTTGATAGGAGACCTTTTTAATTATTTAAGACAACAAAATATTATTTAAATATATATTACATTCATATATTTGTAAACCATTCTACCAACTAGTTTGAATATACAAGTATGAAAACTATGATTAAACAAAAATTCAGTCAACTTATTTCAACATTTTGGCAATTCAAATCAAAAAATCTCAAAATATATCACGAGTTCTTTTCTTATAGCTAATAAAAAATTCAAGGCTATCAAATTCACAGCGAATATCCATACATATTTCATATTTAATTAAAACAAATAAAAAAATATCACGAGTACTTTTCTTAGAGCTAATAAAAAAATAAAAATTTTAATTCAAAGAAAAAAGTCCTTAATTCAAAAAAAAGTAAATCAAATTAAAAAAGCAAAGTGCTACTTATTTGCCAGTTTTTCCAGCAACTCGAGTTTTCTTTTTTCTATATCAGTATCTCTTTCAAATTTTTCTTTAAGCAATTCTTTAAATTGCTGTATGGATTTAGCCTTCAATTTTAATTTTTCTTCCGCCTGGAACTTCTTCAGCTCAATTTTTTTTTCGAAATAAGCCTCTCGAGCTGAACGCTTTCTTCGTGGCAGTGGGGATGGGGATGGAGATGGTGACGGTAGTGGCAGTGGGGATGGAGATGGCGATGGTGACGGTGGTGGCAGTGGGGATGGAGATGGCGATGGTGACGGTGGTGGCAGTGGGGATGGAGATGGCGATGGTGATGGTGGTGGCAGTGGGGATGGAGATGGCGATGGTGACGGTGGTGGTAGTGGCGATGGAGTTGGCGATGGTGACGGTGGCAGCAGTGACAGAGATGGCAGTGGCGTCTTTGATGATGTTGACGCCACTACACTCACCGACAGTACTGTAGCCGGTCTGAAGCCCACGTGGACGGTGTGGTCGTTAGAAATTATTGGGCTCCTCCCAAAGATTTCATCCATTAGCTCCATAAATGGCGCAAAATAAGATCTGGCACCCGTACTGCGGTTGTTGTCGCTTGCCGCTTTGTACGCCTGAAGTAAAGTGCACATCTTCGACTCCAAGCACAATGGTGTTCTCTCGGAATCCTAAAAGTAAGAATAGTTATTTAAATTCCTCATTTTAAACTTTTATTTTTTGTATTTTACGCACCGTAATGCCTATTGACAACATATCTTCTAACACATTTGCGTATGCCAACCTCTTTTTTTTAGGATGCTGGAATTCTTCCTTCCGCGCAAGGTAGCTTCTCAAAAAACCTGTGGTTTTTTCTCGGGTCCATCTTCTTCGTTTCTTGTCTTGTATTCTGAAATATAAATCATATTTTAAATATTTGATATTTTTATAAAAAACTATGAGACGCTATTTTACACACTGCTGCTCCATTTTGTTTCTCTTAATTTTGAAGTTTGCCTGAAATTTCCCCATCAGTTTGACATTTAGCAGAAATTTCCCTTAGTACTTTTCAGTGACTCATTCACAATAGTGCCGGTTTTTTACTTTGCAACACTATTCATCAGGTCGGCTATTGTTTAAGCGTTTTCAACTCAAACCGCTTATATTAACTCAACTTGCTTATTTTGTGTTGTTGCTTTCCACGTAATTCGATTACCTACCTATCGTTCTTTTGCAACTCGGGTACAAAAGAAAACAACTCTAGTTGACATGAATGATAGAACAATAAAACTCTTGATAATTGGCGAAAGCGGTGTTGGAAAATCAAGGTAGGAAATCTGGCAAAATTATTACACCGTTTTAAGTGCAAAACCGCGTATCAGCAAAATGCAAAACCGCGTATGTAAAGTTGTAGAAATTATTTGCCAGAGCGTAAAAACACTCATATTTCAAAATGGTTCTCTTTTTTTTATAAAGCAATCGCATTTCTGGCGGGTATATTTCAGGACGAATGGATAAGGATTGAGCCAAGAGCTTGTGTGAGCAAATCCAATTTTTGGCAGCCAATGTCAATTACGAGGTTTTACAGAATGACGATACGCGGTTTTGTACTTTAAAGGAAGATTAACTGAAACGGATGATGTCGCAAAAAGAATTTTACATTACTTGTTGGCATGTAAATTACTCGCTAAATTTTATCTTCAGCCTCATCCGTCGATTCGTACACGATAAATTTGACGACAACTACGATGTTACTATTGGAATGGATTTCAAGGGCAAAGTGGTGAATATTAATGGGCTTGAATATAAGTTGGCTCTCTGGGATACTGCTGGTGCCGAACGGTTTCGGAGTCTTACTCCAAGCTTTTATAGAAAGGTTTTATAACATAAAATCTTATATTAGTTAAAATTTTGTCTCGTGAAATTTGGTACATAATAAAAAAGTTATTTTTGTTTTTTTTTTTTTCTTGTAGGCTTTGGGAGCTGTGTTAGTTTATCACGTCACGAACCGTGAATCCTTGGCTAAGTTGGAGACTTGGCTTGCGGAGCTTGAAAACTATAGTGATAATCCTAACATTGCCACTATTGTAGTTGGGATTAAAATCGACAGAGAGCGAATCATTAGTCGGGAAGAGGGACTCAAATTTGCGCGCAAACATAGAGCTCTATTCCTGGAAGCATCTGCAAAAGGATATGAATGTGTCGCGGATGTTTTCAAGGAAATAGTAGAAAAGGTAGTTGTACACTTATTGTGGGGAAATGTTAAGTTATTTGGGCAACGATTTTGTGGTGGTAGGTGGCGGAGGGGGAGGAGCCGTAGATTTTTCGCAAATTTATTGTAACCCTCACTAAGTATAATTCACCTTTCTGCGTTGCCGAAAAAGAGCAAATAAAGCGTAGACTCTTGTCTACAAGTGTATAAAAGTTTTTTGATTTGGGTGACGCGTTTGGGCTCAGCACCCCAAAATCGTACAAATAACTAAACCGAACCCCTTATTAAACATAATTGCAAATATAGTGACTCAAACAAAT